CGGAACTTGAGGCAGGAGAGAATGTAGGTAGTTCCAGAGCCATAGAGACATGTACCTTCCATCAGGCAGTGTCATGTATTAGGGATGGAACCAGCATGGATGGGTTTGAACCTGATACTGTACCTATGAGATGTGCCTTAGTTGCATTACCTGTAAGAAGAGAACAATAATAACAGCATACACCTCAAAATGATGCTGTGAGAATTCAATACATGAATCCATGCACTGCGCTTGAAATAATGCCCGAAGGTCTGAATAAATGTTTAATATTTATTAGTACATGACATGTACAAAAATATGTGCACTAATAAGGGATAGGAAAAGCATGTTCTTTTTCTTACATGTCTACAATGCTTCTATGGCAGGTACTATATACCTGGTGGGTGCAATCCCACTTGTATTGCCCCAAAATAATTTATCTTCTCCTTATAAAATATTTCTTCATTGTAGGCATTTTTGTGTGTTAGAAAATGCATGAATTCTGGAATCAGAATACTATTCTCACCCTTTACTTACTATTGTATGATCTTAAGCAATGATACTTACCTGACAGGCTTATTTGAATTTCAAGTGAGCTAATGTATGCAAAAGACTAGTTTCTTTAGCCAAATCACTCCTTTTCCCCCCTCTGATAAGAGTGGTTCTTAGCCCTGGCTGGCATAGCTCAGTGGATTGAGCACGGGCTGCGAACCAAAGGGTCACAGGTTCGATTCCCAGTCAGGGCACATGCCCTTGGTTGCAGGCCACGACCCCCAGCAACCACACATGGATGTTTCTCTCTCTCTGTCTTTCTCCCTCCCTTCCCTCTCTAAAAATAAATAAATAAATAAAATCTTTAAAAAAAAAAGAGTGACTCTTACCAATCCAAAATAATGTCAGAATTCTTCATGGCAGCTAAGGCTAATCTTTCCTTCTTCTCAAGTATATTTTATTAATTATGCTATCACAGTTGTCCCACTTTTCCCCCTTAACCCCCCTCTGCCCAGTACCCCCATTACCTCCAGTAATCCCTTCCCACCTTAGTTCCTGTCTGTGGGTCGTGCATTTAAGTTCTTTGGCTTCTCCATTTCCTATACTATTCTTAACCTCCCCCTGTCTATTTTGTACCTACCAATTATGCTTCTTAATTCCCTGTACCTTTCCCCCCATTCTCCCTCCTCCCCCTCACTGCTGATAACTCTCCATGTGATCTCCATTTCTGTGATTCTGTTCCTGTTCTAGTTGTTTGCTTAGTTGGTTTTTATTTATTTTTTTTAGGTTCAGTTGTTGATAGTTGTGAATTTGTTGTCATTTTACTGTTCATAGTCTTAATCTTTATTTTCTTAGATAAGACCCTTTAACATTTCATATAATAAGGGCTTGGTGATGATGAACTCCTTTAACTTGACCTTATCTGGGAGGTACTTTATCTGTCCTTCCATTCTAAATGATAGCTTTGCTTGTTAGAGTATCTTGGATGTAGGTCCTTGCTTTTCATCACTTTGAATACTTCTTGCCTCAAAGATTTCTTTTGAGAAATCAGCTGACAGTCTTAAGGGATCTCCTTTATAGGTAACTCTCTTCTTTTTTCTTGCTGCTTTTAAGATTCTCTCTTTATCTTTAACCTTTGGCATTTTAACTATGATGTGTCTTGATGGGTCCAACTTGTCTGGGATTGTCTGAGCTTCCTAGACTTGTATGTTTATTTCCTTTGCCAAATTGGGGAAGTTTTCTTTCATTATTTTTTCAAATAAATTTTTGTTTTTTGCTCTTCCTCTTCTCTTTCTGGCTCCCCTATGATTTGGATTTTGGAACATTTAAAATTGTCCCAGAGGTTCCTAAGCCTCCCCTCATTTTTTTTTTTTTTTGAATTCTTGTTTCTTCTTTCTATTCCAGTTGAAAGTTGTTGTTTTTTTCTTTTGTTCCAAAATGTTGACTTGAGTCCTGGCTTCCTTCTGTTCACAGTTGGTTCCCCGTATACTTTTCTTTATTTCTCTTTGTATAGCCTTCACTTCTTCCTTTATTTTGCTTGTACTCAGTCATTTTTCTGAGCATCCTGATTACCAGTATTTTGAATTCTGCACCTGATAAGCTTCCTATCTCCTTGTTGCTTAGTTCTTTTTCTGGAGTTTTGATCTGTTCTTTCATTTGGGCCGTATTTCCTCATCTCCTCAGTTTGTAAGCTCAGCTGTTATGTTGTAAGGGCAGAGCTTTCAATGTTCGTTTGGTGCAACTGCATAGCCACTTGTGGCACTGTATGTGAGGGGGGTGTCAGAAAGGGGACAATGCTGCTTGCTCAGCTCTTGCCCCGCTTTCAGTCACTTCCCCCTCTTCCCACAAGTGAATGGTGCCCTCCCAGGTGCTGCCCTGGTGCTGATCCTTTGGTGGGTGAGCTTATGTACATTCTAGAACTCCGTGGGCCCCTCCAACAGACACACCTGAGAGAACGGCAGTTTCCTCTGCTGCCGCATCTCCCATAGATTTTTACAGCCAGAGGTTCTGAGACTTTATTTACCTGGTACTGGAACCCTGGGTTGAGCAGTCTGTCCTGGGCTGGGATTGGTCACTTCCCAGTTGTTCTTCCTGGTTTTTATCTGCATGCGAATGTGGAACTGTTCGGTCCACCAGCTGTCACATTGCCACATGTGTTCTCTGCCCCTGCTTCCCACATCTGTTCCTCCTACAAGTCTGGATGAATGTTTCTTCTTTAACTCACTGGTTGTCGGACTTCCATACAGTGTGATTTTCTGGCAGTTCTGGTTTTTGTTTTTTTGGTTTTTTTTAGATTGGTTGTTATCCTTCTTTTGGTTGTGCAAGGAGGTGAAGCATATCTACTTAAGCCTCCATCTTGGCTGGAAGTCCAGTCAAGGATGTCTGTTTTTTTTGTACACATGATATGGTTTCATTGTCATTGTATTACAAAATAAATAATTAGTAGTGTGTTCATATCACATTATTTCATGCAAATCATAGAACACACTGAGTTGTATTTTTTCTTTTTCCTGTTTTACTGAGGACAATGAACTCTCTGGTAGATTTATTGAAATATTGGTTCCAGTTTTCCTGTGCACTGTACCCATGTCCCTTGCCAAATAACACTGTAGTATCCTTTCGCTCTGACTCTGGGCATTACCACATGGCATGCCAGTAGGATGCTGGCTTATCGGATGTAACCCCAGATTGAAAAAAACACTTGCAAAATTTATCTTGCTCACTTCTCCTCTTCCACAATTGCCATGAAAACTTGCCTGGTGTAAATGGATGGAAGGTTGGAGCCAAATGGCACAACTGCTGGCCATCACAGTCAGTTTATCCAAGGCCACGCTTAGTTGACCGACATCCAGCTGATGCCCAGACATGTGAACAAGCTCGGCCCAAATCAGCACAGTTGCAGACACTACCAACAGCTGACTGCAGGCCTGGAAGGACGCACTGCCAGTCAATGCCACGCTCAGCCTAATTCAGCCAAGCCCCACACATTCCTAAGGTTCATAAATGTTTATTGTCTCAGGCAACGGAGGCTGTGTAGACATTTATTATGCATTAACTGTGTAAATGAAGCTTCACAAACATTTAGTGCTTATAGTCAGGGTCCAGACTAAGCAGGGATTTCCACACTAGAGTAAGAATGTTTTTCCTTCGCTGTACTGAAAGAGATTTAGAGCTAGGCAGACTTCGGGAGCAGAGGGGAAAGGTTAGTGTAATATATTATTTATACATGTTTTCTTGATGCAGTGTTTTTTCATCTGAAAGCTTTCCTTTATTTTTAAAATATTTTACATATTATTTATTTTTTTAATTTTAAGAGTTTATTTGAGCAAAACTGGATTTGAATCAGGCAGCACCAGATTGGAAGGGGTTAGGAATACTGCACTGATAAGAGCTTGAATGTTTTGGGGTGACACTGGTTAATACATGTATACAGGTGTCAAGTGTGCAGTTCTAGAACACATCATCTGCATATTGTGTGTTCACCGCCCCAAGTCAGGTCTCCTTCCATCACCATTTATCCCCCCTTTACTCTCTTCTACCTCCCAAACCTCCTCCCCTCTGACAGCTGCCAGTCTTTTTACTACGAGTCTGTTTCTAATTTGTTAGTTCAGTGTGTTCATTCCATCCCACATAGGAGTGAAAGCATATGGTATTTGTCTTTGACTGCCTGGCTTATGTCACTTGGCATAATGCTCTCCAGGTCCGTCCACGCTGTCCCAAAGGGTAAGATTTTCTGCCTTTTTTTTTTTTATAGGCACGTACTATTCCATTGTGGACATGTGCTACAGTTGTTTTATCCACTCATCTACTGATGGGCACCTGGGGGGCTTGTACACACTAGCTATTGTAAATAGGCCTGTCCTGAGAAGTGGGGTGCAACTCAGAGTGTGGAGGGAGACAGTCTGGTCCAAAAGGTGGGCATGGAAGGGTGGGGGCTGGACAATTCTGGGACAAAACACATTGTTTCTGTTACTCCTCATCCACTTAATGTTTGTCCGGTTCAATGTAGGCCTCAAAGTAGACGGTATGGGTTACTCTTCATTCTTGGAAAAAGCAACACACCTGAAGACACAGGCTCTTCAGAATAAAACAGATGCCTAATGAGGTTTCCAACCTTCATCCAGTTTTTCCCCCCCGTTGTCAGTTGTAAAGGACTCATCCTAAGCCCACCACCCCCTTGTGCTTGCTTCCCCATCCCGAAGCAGGAAAGACGGCCTTCAGTGAAATGCTCATGAGAACTGGCCTCTCTCCTCCCACTCAGGCATCCCCCAACCTGGCCCCACCCCCGTGCCTCCCTCTACCCCCTCCACACACCCTCATGTGGCAGGTGTGCAACCCCCACACCTCCCCATCCCCCAACCTGGCCCCGCCCCCTGCCTCCCCACGCCCTCCACACACCCTCATGTGGCAGGTGTTCACCGTGTGCCCAGGAACATGGGGAAACGACGCCTCCCAGAAAGCAGTCAAAAGACAGCCCATTCAACGGACAAGTGTTTTATTAAAGTGGTAGTTTACTGTTTACTTCTCACTCACATGGCATATTTTCTTGTCCAAGCTTGTGCCATAGTATTATATTTGTCCCTGTTCTTTAAATACATTCTGGCAATAGATGGAATTAAGGCATTATCAAGGTTAGGGTTGCAGAGCATGGAGCTGATGGACAATAATACTTTGGATGTAGTCAGTGTGGGAGACCATTGGGACTTAAGAATATCTAAATGGATATGTCCTCTTCTGTCGATATTGGGGTGGTATATCCGGGTGGTGAAGTAAACCCACGGAGGGTGAAAGGGGTACTCGCATGGAAAGTGTATGTTTAGGGAGAAGACCCCTCCCTCATAGGGGCTGTTGGGGGGACCCATGATGATCCCCCTCCATGTGAAAATGTCATTTCCCACTGGCCCCGCAGAGCATGTGAGAGGGGGGTCCTTAGTGATGTCCGTCAGTTCCTTCTTTAGGCGCTTTACAGCCGTGGACGTGTCCACGGGAACGGGCCGTGTCCGGGCATCCTGATAGAGACAAGGGGGAAACCATGGGTGGGGGTGGGGGCCCATGGGTTAGGGTGGGCGTGGCTTACGGGGGCCGGGGTTAGAGGGGCAGCCACCCCCCAGGTCGGTGGGTGGGTAAGAAGGCTGGAGCCGGGCTGTGGGGTGTGAGGGGCTGTCGGGGGACGGGGCCGGTGGGGAGGAGGGGGGAGGAAGGCAGAGTTGGGGACTCGGCTGGACCTGAGGGGCTCCTGCTCACCTGTGTCCCGCTGGTCCCTGGCACCTCCATGTCTGCCTCCTCCATCCCTGGCTCCTCCATCCCTGGCTCCTCCATCTCTTCCTCCTCCATCGCTGGGTCTGCCACTCAGAGCCTCAGCCCTGAGGCTGCGCTGCCGGCACACACCGCCACCTCGCCCCAGGACCAACTGCTCCTGCCGGCCCGCCTGCCTCTGCCGTTGGCCCTGCCGCGCGCACTGGGTGCCTGGAGACAGGAGGGGATCTGCTCTGTGACGTCACCAGCGGCCCTCGTGACGCCAGCAAGTCAGTGGAGGGCGGGGCCAGGGGAGGTCAGAGGACTAAATGAAAGGGGGTGGAGGGAGGGAGAGACCATGGAGGGGAATGGGGGGAGGAGAGTAGAAGGATGGAAGGCAGGAGGGGCCATGGAAGGGAATGCAGGGCTCTGGAACAGCAGGAAGGTCCATGGAAGGGAGTGGAAGGGGGTGTGGAGGATGGTAGAGACCATGGAGGGGAATGGCGGGTGGAAGGCAGAAGGGTGGGACAGTCCATGCAGGGGGGTGGGGGAAGGGTGGGAAGGACCAAGGCGGGGAATGGGGAGAGAGGAACGGGAGGGCGGAGACAGGAGAGTCCATGGAGGTTAGTGGGAGGGGGTGGAGGGCGGTAGAGACCATGGAGGGGAATGGGGGGTGCATTGCGGGAGGGTCCATGGAGGGGAATGGGGGGTGGAGCGTGGGAGGGTCCATGGAGGGGAATGGGGGGTGGAGCGTGGGAGGGTCCATGGAGGGGAATGGGGGGTGCATTGCGGGAGGGTCCATGGAGGGGAATGGGGGGTGCAGCGTGGGAGGGCCCGGGGAATGCAGGGAAATGGAGAGGGTGGAGAGTGGGTGGGACCACCAAGGGGAATGGGGGGGGGACCAAGGAGGGGCAGGATGGGGAGGTAGGGGGAGAGGTCAGGGGAGGGTGAAGAAGGCTGAGGATGGAAGGAGCCCAGGCTCCCTGGCTGGCCCACCGCGGGCGCCCTGCCCTGGTTAGTTGGGTCTCAGGCCCTCCCCCTGCTGAGAGTCACCCCAATGTAGAGGAACCGTTGGCTCCCTGAATTCCTGCACCCCTCACCCACCCAGACTCACCTCCCTGAACAACTTCCCCCCTGGCTTCCTGCTGACCTCTCTCCTGCCCTTCTCGCTCCTGAGCTGGCCCTCCCTCCCTTTGTACGGACTCAGAGGCCCTGGGGAGTGAGCTTCCCACGTCCCCACGCTGCACGCCCTGACGCGGCCCGTGTGCTTCCCGAGACAGACCACCTCCCGCGTGTCCACCCTCAGTCCACGTGACAGCCGTGCCGTGCTCCCCCGCCTTCTACCGGGACTGCTCCTCCCCGGGTGCTAAGGTTACTGTCTGTGCAGAATGGAAGCCTTCCAAGGGCCGGTCTGCAGCTGGAACCCCTTTCAGTTCTCAGTGACGGACAAGAGAAGCAGGAGGAAGGGGGAAGGACACCAGTCACCCCGAGGACATCTGGGCACGGCGGGTGTGTTCCTTCATAAGGACAATCAGGGGGGCAGGAAGGGGCCTCCATAACGAGCGCCGCTGCAGAACCACGTCTTCCACTCACGAGGACGCCCCGTAAAGGTGCTCGTTAAACATGCAGCCCTCCTCGCCGGCTTGCACGCGTGGCAATGGAAAGCCAAACAAGCACCAGCGACAAAGCTTGGGCTGTACCCCCGTACCAATGTTTTTCAGGAAGTAAGCAATAATTTAATAAGGCCCTCTTAAATTCTGGCAGGAAATCGCATTAGAGCAAGCAGGCCACAGTTTCACTTACAATACACTGGGCATCCTTCAAGGATGGAAATTGCCTGCTGTCAGGCTAGTTAGCTAACACCGCTGGTCAGCCCATTTGGGGAGGCAGGTCACGGCCTGCCAGGACTTGAAAGGGGGGCTACGTAGATGGCAGAATGGGCCCTGCAGTAGCGGACCATAAAATGCTCATTCATGGAAAGAAACGTGTCCCAATCTCTCGTGTTATACCGCAGCAAACAAGGACCGATGCGTAGGCTTGTGAACAGTGAAACTACCCTTGTTACTGCGGTGAGTGTCAAATTTTAAAATCCTCATCTAGAGTAACAGAACATTTGTACGAAAATCAGGAAAGAAAACCAGGGCCAGTTCTTTCCATAGGGAGCATAGACAACATTGCACAATGTGGAGGTAAGCTTCTGAAATTCTCTTTTTTCTCAGGGATGAGACCCGAAACTTATTTCGTGAGACCGAATGCCACAAACACCGACCTTTTGGATTGGGTTGGGTGTCAGGACATGTCATCCCGTGTCCATTCTCTTTGGGAGAAGAGGATGGTGGTGACCCCCCGCCCTTTCCATGACCGGAGCCTGTGGAAAAGACTTCCCCCATCTGCTCTCCGTCCCCGGTTCGGAGGCTCGAAATCAGGGTAGGATGAGTTGTCACAAAACTACAGTACTAGATTTGAGTGAGTGCATGCACTGCTCGCGTTACCCCCTCAAGTCCCCCCTCAGCACTGCCATGTAGGGTGACCTCGCTGAGGCACAAATCAGTCCCTATCACGGGCTTCCCAACGTCTCCACCTGCAGAGTGAATTCCAGAGTCAGGGCTGTCCGATTTAGCAGTCCGCAGGGGAAACTCAGCCTAACTCTATTTGGGTTCACGTGATCATCTGTGCACCTATCGTATAGCATGTATTATACTCTGTTGGCTTTGCCTGTACACGTGTTCATTGGCATAACCAGTTGGACAGCTTTTTGGCGACGGGTTGGCCTGTCTGCTCTGTGCGAGGGACTCAGCATTTCCCAGATGAGCGCAGGCATTCCTGAAACGGCCAGTGGCATAATGCACACACTACCATGCATCCAGAGAGGTGATCATTCTCATTCACTCTCGTTTTTTCACCTAACTGAAAATTGGGGCTAGAAACATTATGTGATACCAGGTATTACACACAATAAAAAGAAGGAGCTATATAGTGGGAATATGTTGTGTTACTGCTCCTTTGACAAATCCTCCATGGCAGGTCAAAGTGCTGTAACTGTGTTTGACATAACGTATTGCTTATCACAACTTTTCTGAACATTTTGATGAATTTATTTTTTTGAAGAATCTTCAAAGATTCAATCTGGAGCTAAATTTAATTTTTTTATTTATTAAATTGAGAGAGAGAGAGAGAGAGATTGATTTATCCCACTTACTTATGCATTCATTCATTTCATTCATTGGTTGATTCCGGTATGTGCCTTGACCGGGGATGGAACCCGCAACCTTCGCGTATCTCAACACTCCAACCAACTGAGGTACCTGGCCAGGCCTGAAGCTGTACTTCTTGAGAAAGGGAGAGAGTGGAATTTAGTGGGGAAAAAATGGTGCATTCGGCAACCTGTAAGGAATAGATAGAAGCAGAAATTGCTTCTTACCATTTTAAAATTGACCGAGAGCGCAATTCTTTCTAGCAAATTAAGGAGCTAGTGTATGTTTAAATCATCTTGCTACCTTATCGTCTTCGAAAGATATTCTTTGTCCCATTCTTCAGTTATGTGGAAATGATAATTCTTTAATAATGGCTGTTGCAGCAAACTGACTTTTATTTTTGCTCCTTCTTGTTGGGGGAATTCTTAGTAAATTAATGTATTGCTGTGATGTGGGTCTCATGAAGGACTAGCAATCTATGTATATATACTTATCTTCAAATGCTGAAGTGAAATAGAGTGGGTGAGTATATGTTAGGCCAACAGTCACAGCTAAGGTGCGGGCTTTAATCAAGGTACAATTTACCTTGTGCCAACCATCTTTCCCCTAGAGCACACTTTTGGGTTATTGGAACCAGATGAAGGAAAGATTTTTTTCTATTTTCTGTAGTATCAAATTACTATCCCCGTTATTAGAGAATGATTAGCAGTTTACTTCAGTTTCTCCATTTAGTTAAATGAGAAACAGCAGGCGTACTGTGACCCACACAGTATTACAGAGAAACTAAGCAGCTGCTACTCTTTTGTCTCCTGAAATGGAACTTCCCTACCCCCTCCCCAAACATTTCCGGGAAAAAAAAAACACACTCTTAAATTACCAGATCATGGCAGACCTCATTTAATAAAGGCGTGACAGGTCCAATGAGCCAGATGAAGAAAAAAATACCTTTGAAAATTTCCATTGATCATGTGCTTTAAATTCCTTAAAAACACTACACATTTCTCAGATTTTATTCTGGGAATTTATCATGTTGCCATTTAGGAGACTGTCTGGCAATAGGTTCATTTGAAACTGACATTGTTAAAACATTTCTTGGCGTTGAGAGGAGCGCGCATCTCAGTCTTCTCCTGCTCTTTGAATAATTGCCGGCCTGAACGCAGCAGGGTCAGTCAGCCTCCAACGAGGCAATTATGACGCATGGCTTATCTCAAAGTATTTATTTTCCCTGAAATGTCAAAATAGCTGAAGAGCATGCAAGTTTTCCAGCTTTAAGATGAAACCTGCCTATCATCACAACTTTGCTTTTCCCTCAAGAAAAATGTATGTACAAATACTAATGATTTGTTTACTAGCTTGGAGCAGGGGGAAGACATGTCATCCTTTCCAAAGCTTGCCTTTAATTTTACAAGGTCACCTCCTGCTTAGCTCTGAATAATTATTAATAAATGTTTTTTTCAAAAGGAAGTATCAATTCCAAGATGCTTATTTATATCAGAAAAGTATATAATGTGGAGTCATGGCTCTTGTTTCTTTCCCCAATTGTCCTTTTTGATGTTTGTGATCACATTATTTGAAGGGCTGGTATAAAACTCTAAGGCCTTAGTGAAATTGCCTTATTGAGCTCCGTGCAACTATCATGTATTTGCTGGAATGAATTTCTCAAACTGCAAGTTCCAAGGAGTCTTCTTTGCTTTTCGCATTTAAACCTGTGACATTTACCACATTGGGATGGGGAACGTCGGGCTTAACATCTTCATGTAGTAGAAAATGAGAGTTCCATACTTACAGCCCGACCGCATCCCTGTGGTGTTGAGTTTCTGAAGTGGCTGGAGGACTGGTTATAATGGTTTTACCTACCAGGCATGATGGAGATGCATACTTGGGGGTAAAGTGCCAGTGTTATGA